AAGTATAAAATGACCCAAGCAGTGCTGGAAAACCAAGGAGAAATCGTTTCTGTCCACACAGGAAGAAAGGACAAGGTGGACAAGAGCAACTGAAGACCTTCAGGGCATCTTTGGTCAATGTCAGTCTGCAGCCTGGTGGGACTTGCTAGGACAGGCTGCGAGGGAATCATCTTCTCCAGAGGCTGAACACAAGCTTCCAAGCCAGACAGACAAGTTTTGCCCTTTGCTGAGTGGGAAACAAATCAGTTTATCTCCTGTGCCTGTGTGATTTAGAAAATAAGGTCATTTTCTCTACCAGGGTTCTTGTGAGAATGAGATAAAGAACCTAGAGGTCAATGAGCATGTGCCTCCCCTGGTTAATCTCATCTAATCATCAGGCTTCCCAAGCGTGTTGATGGTCACCAAAGTGGTGTTTCCTGTCCATCCCCATTCATGCACCTCCTGGCCAGGCAGCGTTCTTAGCTGACCCCAGGTGACCCTTACCTTCCAGTGGTCACACCACTGGGTGACCTCCCCTTGGCCAGACCTGATGCTGGTCTTTTAATAGACAAAATAGAATAAAAGTGATACCACTTATGAGATTTAATTAGAAGAGACCATGACTTCCATTTTATTTGAGTTCTCTCTCTCTCTCTTCTCTCTCTCTCTCTCTCTCTCTCTCTCTCTCTCTCTCTCTCTCTCTCTCTCTCTTTCTCTCCCTTTCTCTCTCTCTCTCTCTCCAGCTCTTCTCAATTACTTGCTCTGATGAAATAAGTAAACTTGTTAAGTTCCCTGTGGAGAGGCCCATGGGGCAAGAAACTGAGGATGGCCACCAGCCAACAACCATCAAGGGAATGCAAACTTTGTGCCAATGGCTTTGAGGAACTGAGTCCTGCCAGCGGATCGTGGGAGAGAGCAAACTCCTTAACATTGACTGCCTACCCAAGACTCCACAGAGCAAGTTCAATTAGGTTCAATAAGAATGCATTTTCCTTTAACCCAGGATGTACTTGGCCAAGTTGATTGCATCACAAGGAATGTCTTTGAGAATTATTGTCTTTTAATCAGGCACAGCAAGCTGCTGTTGAATAGCTAGGGTTGGCTTTGCAGGCAAAGTCAATCTCCAAAAAGCCCTCCAGGGAAAATTCTCCTGGGATCTGGTTTACAAGATCCCAATCTCACAGATGGTAAGAAACAGCACTCCCTGGCCAGCAGGAGCCTTAGCAAATTTGGGGGCCTTTGTAGTAGAGGATTTCACCCAAATTAATAGGTAGTGTGGGCAAAATATGATGGAATTTCTTGGGTTCAGCTTTCCAGTCTCTGTCTATGAGTAATAGAGGGACTTAGAATTACAATTTGAGAGTCCTTATGAAAACTCCAGGTGGACGTTAGTTCTGTGACCTTCAGAATCGCTGAACATTGTGTGTCTCTGGGTTTGCAAAGCAGACTGGAGAAGACCCATGTGGGTGATGTTCTTGTTTTACCCTGTAAACTGTGAGGCGAACAAGGGACCCATCTTGTTTTATCATCCAGAATAATCTCTGAGCATTATTTAAAATCACAATGGCAGATATTGTCAAGAATAAAATCATCTAAGATTGCACAAATGCAAAAGGAATTTCTTGGTGACTTTTCAGTATAATTCTGGGTATTGTCCAGCTCCTCTGAGGATTATCTGGCTTTATAGAGGTATATAGTCCTTTAACTGGCTGTCTATGTATTAGGATATTTTACAACTCTGCAGGGGTAACCGTTAAATTATAGAAAATGGTTAACAAAGCGAATGCTCTTTGTCCATACTAATGTAAATGATTTCAATTCATAGCAATACAAATGAAATTTATCCAGTAGAGAATGTGACTTTCTCAAAGGGAAATTCTCCTTTGAACCAGTCCTGACATCTTACTGGTTCATGAATTAATAAGCTCAGTGAAATCTGACATGTGTTCATTTAAGAAAAATCATAAGGGAAAAATCCATTCATTCTAATGAATTCTATTCATTAGAAACCGTTATTTTTTTCTATTCATCAAAAGAAGATGAAAAGAATACTCTTCTGATGAGAACAAATCAACATGAATAAGTGCCAAAGTCTATTGTTAAATGATTAAATCAAGTTTTAAAAGAATATATACTGTAGAATTCATTTTTAATATTACATAAATAGTAAATTAAGAATTATACTATATTTCTTAAAAACATTAATAAAGGCAATATAAACTTTCAATACCTGAAATGTAGACACTGAAATATTAACAATAATTACTATTCCAGGTCTAAGGTTGAGAATGATGTTCATTTTCTTTTTGTTCACCTCTATTTTATTAAATTTTAAGAATTAACATGTACTACTTCGGTAACAAACTGAGAGAAGATATTTTTAATGCATGTAATAGAAAAAGACTGGATATCCAAAGTGTGTAATAAGCTACAAATCAATTAAAGGCAAACAATATTTCGTATTCTTTGAACACCTACTATTTATTTTTCATTATAATATAACTTGTATTGCTGTATATCTATTATCTCGTTTCATCCTTCCAGAAATTTTCTGAGATTTATGCTATTTTCCTCTCATGAACAGATGAGGAAACTGAGACTCAGAGTGAAGCGAAAATATATTATTGAGCAAATAAATATAATAAAGATTCCAGCAAAACTTCCAGCCCAGGTGCAATGAACACTCCAGCACAGGCATAATCAACAAGTTTGCTTACTTACAGCTCCTTTCCTTTCAAGATTCATGGCCAGGGCCTCAGCACTCTTATCTACAAGGTCGGGCAGCCGACCAAGCTGGTCTCTCTCTCTCTAAGGCCATCCCCGAATGCCTGCATCTTTCCCCCTTGCCTTGCCCCCCTTGTCTGGGGACTTTGCAGCAATGGTTGTGCCTGATGAAAAACGATGTTATCAATGTAACAGATATGGGCAGAGTTGTGTATAAAAGGAATCTTTGGTCTTTAAACAGGTGCTCAGACCTTATGGGCTACCCACGTCTGGGACCTCATGCATGAGTAATAAAGCTTCTCCTGACCTCACCATTCCTGAAGTACCTCTTGTTCTTCCTCTGCCTGGGTAAAAGGCTAGAATTCATTTCTACAACAAGAGAAGTTAAGTAGCTTGCCCATCATCACTGCGTTGGTAAAGGGTAGAGCTGAGATTAGTACACAGAAGTCTGATTCCATAGCCTCCCTTGTAGGCACTGCCACTATCACCAGCACCAGCAGATTACAAACGAAACAAAACAACAATGCTACTAATTTCCACTCATGAGAAAGATGGGGACATTTGAATGTTTGAGCTAGAGAAACAGTATCAAGTGCTTATGAAAACTAGAGGTTATAGCCTGAAATAACTGCTTGGAAGAATAACAGGAATATCTAGCAAATTTGAAATTTCTTTGATTCTACAATTTCACAAGTCCACTCTACACATGAATCCTAGAAAAAAATTGTATGTGGAGATGTGTCCAAAGACATTTGTTGCAGAATTGTTTAAATAGTGAAAAAAATGGAAATAAACAAATGGTCAGTAATAGAAAATTAGATAAACTAAATGTGGCATATTCAAATACTCATTAAATAGAATATTTTAAGCCTAAAATTGTCAAATAGGCAAATATGAGAGGCATGAGGTTGAAGTAAATTTTTTTCAGAACGATTCTGATATCATGCCACCATAAAAATTTTTAAACTCATATAAGAACAGTTCTATATATAGCTCACGGAGATGACTGGATATTAGCAAAAGTTTCAAAAACATTGTGAGTAGACTTCAGCTTAATGATTGTGATTAATTTCAGGGGAGCTAGGAATATTCAAAGGGCACTTCATCTTTATCTGCGTATTAATTGTTTTTTATTTATTATTATTTTTTAATTTAATTTTTGAGATAAATTTGGTTTATAATATCATTTGTGTTTTATAGGTCGAGGCTCTCCATGTTCAGGTATTGTTGCCATACCACACTCACCACCAAATATCCATAGTCCTCCACCATAGTCTATTGTGTTCCACCCCCGCTTCAATTTTTAAAAAAGAAAAGAAGACTCAGACTAAATATGACAAAATATTGACAAGTATTTATTTTGAATTTAAGAAAATGGAATATATTACATCATTTCTATAATATCTCTCTGTGTGTGTGTATATCTTTCTGTGTATGTGTGTGTGTACATATATATATATATATATATCTGTACCTATATGTCCCCCCAATTCGAGAGTCTCCCACACTAGATGATACCACCACCAATCCTATGAAAATATGCGAAATTCACTAGCAAACAGAGAATTACAAATGAAACAGAAAAATTATACATATGGAGAGATATAAAGATATACAGAGATAGATATGCATATAAACATATATAAATTTCTTTTATGAAACATTTATTTTCTCAAAATACAGTGACATTTAAAATGTAAAACTAAGTGAAAGTCTCACAATCTGAGCCTGGACCAGACTAATCATTAGTCAGATTGTTGCACATACATGTTTAAATTAATTCTAGTTTGGAGTTTATATTAATCCTAGCTTAGATTTTGCACCTAGTGCAAAAAAGCAATTTTAGTTATTACTTGTAAGTGTATCCAGACAGCAATGCAAGACTGTGTTTCTGCATAATCTCTCTACTTTTTATTTCATTTTCACCCCCAAATCCTTTACATTGTACAAAAGCATGTGTGTGTGTTAAACACTTGACTGATCATGTGAAACTCTTGACTGATCATGTGAAACTCAGATGAGCAGAGAGCCCGGGAAAAACAATAGAGCCGTGACCATAAATTCAGTCTTCACAGAAGAAATCCTTTGCTTTTATTACTCAACTGAGTCTTTGGGTGGTGGCAGTTGAATGTTCTCTAACCAACAGTGAGAACTTCAGTTTGTGGATGCCTACATGTTTTCTGGCTGCTCACATCCCAGGGAGGCCAAGGGTGGTCAGGATAGATGTAATTTATGATACCATGTGAGCCCCATCAAGTCTGACTGGGACTCTGAACAGCTCTGAGGTGCTTTTTGGGTCATTGAGCTGTCCTTCGGTCGCCAACTACTTTTAGAAAGGCTCCCTTTACGTCTTTGTTCCTGAGGCTGTAGATGATGGGGTTGAGGAAGGCAGAGACAACATTGTAGAACAAGGCCAGCTTCTTGTCCCGCTCTGGATCATACCAGGAGCCAGGTCTCATGTACATCATTATCGCTGGTCCATAGAACATGGTGACTACAGTGACGTGTGAAGCACACGTAGAGAAGGACTTGAGCCTCCCCTGGGTTGAGTGGATTCTTAAGATGGAAACAAAGATGCGAACATAAGAGGCCAAGATGAGGGAGAGTGGAACCAAAAGTAGAATGAAACCCAAGATGAAGTCCAATCTGTCATTGAAGGATGTATCTGCACAGGCCAACTTCAGGACAGCAGGGACCTCACAGAAGAAGTGGTTAATCTTGTAAGGGCCACAATAAGGCAGATGCATGGTGAAGACAGTGTAGATCAGGGCCCCAGCTACACCAATGATCCAACAGACTATGACCATCTTGACACAAATAAGACGGCTCATGAGGAGGGTATAATGAAGGGGGAAACAAATGGCCACATACCTATCATAGGCCATTATGGCATAGAGAACACACTCAGCAATGCCTAGAACCAAGAAAATGAACATCTGGGCCACACAAGCTCCCCAGGAGATAGTCATCCTTGGACATAACATATTAACCAACATCTGGGGCACGGTAGTGGTGACATAGCTCATGTCCACCAAAGAGAGGATACTGAGAAAGAAGTACATGGGTGTATGGAGGTTTGAATCCAGGTAAATCAGGGTGACAATGAGTCCATTACCCAGAAGGGTAATGAGGTAGAGGAGGAGGAAGAAGATGAACAGGGCCATTCTGACCTGGGACTCGCTGGAGAAGCCAAGGAGGATGAACTCAGACACAGAGCTGTGGTTCTCCTTGCCAAGGCTCTGCATGGTGCCTCCCTATTAAAGAAAGACAAGGACTTCCCTGTCCTCTCCTTGGCCTTGGAGGAGGAAGAACAGAGTTGACTGAAGCTGGAACACACACACACAACACTTACGTGGTTTGGATTTGGTCAAACCTTTGTTGAGTAGGATGAAAAGGGAAAGAAAGCTAGGTCAGCTCTGGGAAATAAGTCAGAAGGTCTGGACTCATACCTGTAAAAGAATACAGAAGGGCTTAATGTCCACATAGGGCTTGTATTGAGACCACCCTCACTCATAGCACGTAAGGCATTAGGTAGCCGTGTTTGTAGTAGGGGATGTACCCAAAGCCCTGGCCACGCTGAATTCCACCAAAGGCATCCATTTATCTCAACCTGGGGGACAATTCTTTGCTGAGAATTTAAAATGATGACACTGAAAGCCTCTGTCTGTGGGCGGTGGGGTCCTCTCAACCCAGAGCTGGTGTGGCGGTAACCCACAGGGGAGCTGACACTATGAAAAAGAAAATGGGAGACCTTGTAGAAATGACAACAGAGCAGATGTGCTGAGAAGAGAGGAGAGCCCTCACAGCTCTGAGCAACTGAGACAGTGATTCTGGTTCCTGACTTGCTAACCCCAGAACTCCTGGAGTTTGTCTGTACTTTGTTTCTTGTGTTTGGGTAGCTGTGAGATTTTCTGTCAAATCCTTACAATTACCATTCCATGACCACATTTTAAATTGAACTCTTCCTGATCGTTCCATTGTTTTCACCCAACTGTGTGACTTTGGACACGTCCCTTCACCTCCACTGAACTTAGTCCCCCATCTGTTAGATAGAGCTGAGACATCTGTGCACAGGGTTATGGCAAAGAGCATGTGAGATACTGTATGTCAAGACATTGTGCAAAATACAAAGCACTAGACAGATAAAAGGGGTTAATATAAATGGAGTGAGTCTGAAAATCAGAAGAGTTGCGTGCTAGTCCTGACTGTGCTCCTGATTCGCTGTGTGATCTTGGGCAGCTCCAGGGCCTATCTTTAAATGAAACTTTTGCCCTTGGCCTCTCCAAAGAATCAGCTCTGGTATTCTTTGATACCAGGAACACCAGGCTGGAAACCTGTGATTACATCGGTGTCATGAGCACCAAAGGAAGGGCCGAGTTAGCTGAATAGGACTGTGTTAACAGGAGATTCCTTCTGGGAATTGGAGACAGGAGATGAGGCTATAGCAGGGTATATAGAGTACAGCCTTGGAAATCAACACCCTTGTATCTTGTAGCCTCTTTGCCTACTCCCAAGTCGCTTAAACTTTGAGTCCCACAGTCCTCAAAGTAATAGGAGTAATATCTCCCCAATTATAGAATATATTCCTGGTTTCTAGAAAGTGTTCAATAAATGGTAGACATTTAGATAATAGGAAGCTGGGTAGAAGGAGGCCCGGAGAGAGGAGAGAGGAGCTCTTGTGGCATTTTCATTTCATCTAAATATCCAGAAGACAGGAGAGAAACATGACTGAGGACTGATTGCTACAGGATGATGGTGAAGTTCTGGAAGATAGCAATACTGTCTGGATATGGCCCAGCTTCAGAAGATGGTATCCAGACTACGGTCCAGAAAAGATGGTGTGATGTCTGTGTGTTGCGCTTTAGGGAATGTCAGTAATTGGATGAAGACTAAAAATGCCCCAGACCAGAAATGTCTGTGAAGGCAGGAGGAGAGCTATGAAGTTCTGAATCCTGGATACTGGGAAGGGAAACTTCCAAAATAGGGTTCGGTTAGTGCAAATGGCGCACCCTGAGCCCAGGAAGATGAGGGCTGTGAATAAAGAGGAGCTCATGCCCGCCTTCCTGCCCAGACCTGCACTTTTTCAGTGGCTTCCCTTCCCGATTCACCCTCCCCAGCCCCAGAGGATTCTGTGTCATCAGTCACGCTCTTTCTCACACTTTACACCAGAATGTAATGACTTTCTTGTCTGGTTCTAATTTTCAAATCTATCTAATGTTTCTAACTAATTTCCAATTCACCAGTGCCTCAGGGAGACTCTAGAGCCAGGATATAAATAGCATCGCTACCAAAAGGATCCCAGTCTGGGCGGCTGGGGCGCCCTCCCCTCCGAGCCACAGTTCCCCTCACCACTTGGCCTTCTCCGTGTCTGCACTCTGCCACCCAGACCCCACCACTCCCCGCCCCCCAAGACCCAGGTCGTCCGCAGATGCTGTGTTCCTTAGCTCTCTCCACATTACCTGGTAGAGATGGGCAGGCTGCTTCCAGAGCTCCGTTCCGCTGCTTGTTTTCCCTGCTTGCTTAACACCAGATTCTGCTCTGCCCTCACCAAGCTAACAAGTGGCAGGACCAGGTCTAAATCCTGGTCTCTGGCTACAGCGCCTGCCAGACTCTTGAGCACCGCGCTTTACTGTCTCTCTCCAAGGCCCTGGGAAGAGATGGTTAAAGCCTTCACACAAGGAAAACACTGTATTATAGTCACTCTCCTCCACCTGCCCGTGCTTTATGTTCCGCCTCAGCCTCTGCTCTTCTGGGGGAGTAGCAGGACAGGATTCCTGTCAGGGCTGTCAGGGGCTTCCAGAACAAGTTCTGGGTGTGGGAGGTTGCTCCAGAAAGGGACCACGAAAGTAACACCCCACTGCTGATCAGTGAGGGCAAGTGTGCTGGTCTGCTCCCCCAGTGTGTGGGGCAGAGAAGCCTGGGAGCTGGGGAGGGGGGCAGTGCCCAGGAAAGGAAACCCTACCAGCGGCCTGATTCCCACCTACAGGTGCCCAGCGGCAAGTTCTGCTTGTAGGGCTCCTTCTCTTCTGCAGCGTCAGTCTGGTTTCTCCCACTCTCTCGAGGTGCACAGAAGGCAGTGCACCCCTTCTTAGCAGGCGGCCCTGCTGGGGAGATCTGCATCTCTTTTAAGTGTGTGGGGTGCACAGCAGCCCTGGAGGGAGGGGCTTGCCCGGCAGACCCAGGAGTCCTCTTCATATGGGAGTGAGGTTTAAGGGTACATTTCCAATCCAGAAAAGCCCTTGTGGGCTCCCCCCTGACCAAGCTGGTAAACAGAGTGTGGAGCCCTGGGCTGGAGGAAAGACACAGCCAGGAAGTTTAATGCTCCCAGGACATTTTGGGCGTTGCCCCTGGAGCTAGCTCCACCATGGAATGGCCCCTGAACTGAGCATTGGGATCCTCTATTCCCACCTTGCAGTTGAGGTAGAGGCCTCAGGATTCCTGAAGACTGGGGTTCATCTAGGAAGAGTCAGAAAGCTGAGAATGGAGACTCGGGTAGTCCCTGCGGTCACCCTTCCAGCCCCAAGCCCAGTGAGGCAGAAGCTCCCCACAGTGAGGCAGGCTGGGATGTTGGTTGCTTCCCACACTGTCTTACCTCAGACAAGTCCTTCGTTCACCTCTCTAATCTTCAGTGTCTTCTTGAGTGCAAAGTCGGCTTCTCTCACAGAGTTGCTGGAGAATGAAATAGAATAGAAGAATGAAATAGAAGAATAGAATGAAATAGAATAGAATAGAATGAAATAGAAGGTATTAGTAAATGCTGACCCCTTCCTGCTTTCCTCCCTGACACCCCGAGAGTATGTGCAAAGCAGGAGCCCACCGCCCTCAGAAGTCTCTGCTCCCGGGAGAGTGCTCAGCCAGCAGCCCTCACTTCATATCAACAACTGACTGTCTTCTCAGCAGAGAGGTCTGGCTCCCTGCCTCAGGTCTGGCCTGTCTCAAGTCACAACACTGGGTGCAGGAAAGGTTAGGAGGACATCTGGTTGGTCAGACAAAGTCACGCTCAGCTCTGCACAGGTCACTTAATGCCTTGAGTTTCCATTTCTGTTATCTGTCACATGGGGACAATAATGCTGCAGCCATTTAGTGTGTGTGCATGAGCATATCCTCTACCTCATACATGCTTATACGTAGTATATGTGCATGCACACACTCCACGTACACACCATTGTACATATATCACTACAGACACCAGACATATCTCTTGTCTTGCCCAAAATGGCTACCCAAAAAACCCAGTATCAAGTACTTTTAGGACAGAGGGAACACAGCCCCATTTTACGGAGCAGGGACACTCAGTGACTTGGCCAGGTCACAGTGACCAAGTCTGTCTGATGACAAATCCCTGGGTGGTCTGTGCACCAGTTACTTGCCTGGAGGTTGTTCTTTGGTGCCTTCAGTGGTTGAGCGGAGGGGCGGGGCCACCTCTGTGCCTTCAGTGCCACGTGTCTGCTGGGGCTGCTGCCTGGCATGACACACTGGATGTGGGCAGGGATCCAACCAGGGGAAATGGGAGGGACCAGGGCACAAGGGCTTATCAAGAGGAGAGAAGGTGACCCAGACAGCCCTACATACCTTCAAAAAAAAGGCAGGCCAGGTAAGTGCTAGTCATGGGGACCGAGACTTCTGGAAGAGAGAGGAGAGTGTGGTGAGAGGTGGGAGAACACGCCGTTGATCACCGAAGGGACAGGTGCTTGCTCTAAGCTTATGTATGAGAAAGGATTATGAAGGGCAGAGCCAAGGCTACCTAAGCTGCCTTGAAGGCGTGGAGCCTCCTGTCCCTGGGAGGATGTGAACAGGAGTTGGAGCTTCTTTTGCAAAGGGACTGCAAGGATGTGTGCTCAGCCTCTGCTAAGGACAGGCTTCTCCAAGAGTGCCTCAGCCCCAGGTTTGGAGACTCTCTGAAGCTTCCTAAGTGATCCTGGGCAGCAGCTGAGGGCTCAGGGAGAGACCTACAGCCCAGAGGGTATAAAAGCAAGACCCAGAGCTTGCTCACCGAGGACTCCGCCCAAGCCCACCTGCAGTGCATCCTTGCCAACTGCGGGCACAGACCCTGGGCAGTCACAGTCTCTGAGGGTGGTGGTCATCCTCCTCGGCTAGGACACCAGGTCTAGGCCTGGGCTGCCCAGCGGGGGCAGGGTCTTCCCTGGAAGGCAGCGTTTCCCCCATAGTGGTTAGGGAGCCGCAGTTCTGGGCACCCATGAGAAGTGGGCTCTGAAGGTGTGGGCGAGTGAATGCCAGCCACCTCATTTCAGCCCGCAGGGTCCTGAGAGTCAGAGCTTGCTCCCGCGGCCTGGCTCCAGCTCCTCTGTGACCACTGGTTCTGTCTTTAGTTTCCATCCCTTTGCTCTCCCCTGCCTCTGTGGTTCTCCGACCCCTCATTTGTCTCCCTGTGTACACTGATCCTTGTTGGCGGCACTGTCTCTGTTCTGCTCATTCCGGGTCTCCTGTGAGATGCCAGCTCAGATGCCTCTTTCACATTTGCTTTCTCTTCCATCTCCCAGGATACTCCAAATCCTCCCTGGTTCCCATGACTCAGCCCATCTTTCCCCTGCCATAGCACATCCCAGGCCCTCAGAGAAGGCTATGCCCTCAATACCACTGTGCCCACAGCCAGCCTATTCTCTCCTCCCCAGATACACTGAGGATTCCAGGGGCTGTTGGACACAGCACGAGGAGGACATGTGGAGAGGCTAGTTCTGGCATCACCTGCCTGGGATCTCACCTCCCATCATGATGCCCACCCCCTCATGCAGCTCTCTGGGAAGGCAGAGACCATGATGCAGAAGGCAGAGGGGTACCTGGGGCTCAAGAGGGACCAGCAAGAGGCTGTGTCACTGTGTGCAGGGAGAGGTGCCTGCAGCCTGGGGTGCTGCCTTCCTGGGTCCGGTTGACCTGAGCATCTAGCTACTCACCAGCTTCACTTGCCCTGGGTTTTGGCCAGTGTTTCTGCTCCTCCTGCCCTCTTCATATCAGCTGCTTCCCCAGGAGACAGGAAATGACAGAGCAAGTGAGTGAGTACATGGTGGGGACCCGGGACGACCTCCACATTATTGTCTCGGATGTAAGAGAGGCTGGTGCTCACGAGCACAGACTCTGGAGTTGACTCTGAGTGTGACCCTGGACACCTCTTACATATAAAATGGGTACAGTCAAAATGCCCACCCCACAGACTGGGTGCCAGGCTCATGTTCAGCTTGTGGGCATGCTGCTGCAGGTTTGCTTGTTTCTCATGTGGGTATATTCTGATTGGAGGGTGCCCATATTTAATGTTAAATCTTGCAATTGTCACTCTTGTTATGGGGATAAAATAAAGTAATGCATGAAATGTGCCCAGCATATGTAACATTATAATAACATAGCATGTTCTTTTTGCTATAATAATAATAATAATTTTAATGGCTGGAATAAGAGTGTGAGAAATGGTAGAAAGATTCATAGTATTTGGTGCCAATTCTCCCAATTGTCCCCCCTGAACCAACTTGTACCTTGATTTCCCTGGGGCACTCATGACCTCCAGACACAGGTAATTTTCTCTGGATCTCTAAGGATTGGATGGAAAAGATATAGGGAGAGAAAGAAAACCTATAATCTTTTTTTTCTGGCTTCTTGGGCCTCCCAATCTGTTGAGCATTTAGTAAATATTTATTGGGTCTTACTATGTGTCATGCACTGTGTTAAGTCATGAACTTATAGTAGGAAACAATAAAATTTTGCAACATGAAGCCAATGGGGATTTATCTGACCTGCAGAATTTCCAAGTTGGGTTTGACTTGCCTAGATCTGGGAATGAGTCCAAGTTGCTGACCAGTTGATACCTAGGAGTTCCGGGTCCTAGTGTCAACTTTGACAAACCCCCACTGTGACCTGGGACACAGCTTGCAGAACTTTGGGCCGTGGTGGCTGATGCTTTCTGTTTCAGCCCTTGCAGCAGCTATAGAGCGCTCTAAACTGTCTGCACTCACCCACTAGCCTTGGAGATTCGTGACCAAAAGTCATGTGACTTTAAAGAGTAAGACCAGAATATTGGTCTAACTCTCTTCGGGTGTTCCTCACACAGGGGTCATCGAAGGATCAGTGAAATAGCCTAGCAAGGTTTTTGCTTTAGAAAGAGTGCCCTAAAGGGGTCTCCCAGGTGGTGCAATGGGTTAAGACGAAACCTATGAAGCTATGTGCAGCCACTGCAGAACAAGTTCGATGCCCGGCCAGGGAGCAACCCACATGGAGCAGCAGACCTCTCCTGTCTTGCCTGCTGCTCCCCTCAGCAGTGTATTTCACTCAGTCTGCCTGTTCTGCTTCCCACTCTTTCTGATGAATCCTCTCACCACCACCCCGCCCCATACCCCAGTTCTTGTATGAATAAATACATAAATCTTTAAAAAAAAAAGAGTGCCCTAAAGGCTGGTGCACAGAATGGGCTGGGCATGGGTCCCTCTTCCCTGCCTCCCCCTGAGAATCAAGGAAAGAAATTTTTCAGTGAGTTAAGGATTCCGATTTGTTGAGTTCTGGTTAGCTGAAGTTAGGTTGCTCATGGGAATCTTTCCTGTTGCTGAGGGATGATTAGATTCAATGTCTCCCATATAATCCTTCTCTGAGCCTCAGTTTCCCCATTGTTGAGATGTAGATAATGATCCCTACCACATGCATCTCCAAATCATCATGGAACTCCAAGGGAGAAAGAATGCCTGGGTACTTTGAAAGGAACAGCCCCAAAGCTGAATTCTATATTTTTGAGCCAAATGGGGGCAGAGAGGCCAGGTTCATCATGATAGATAATGATGTTGTCCTTTGTTTTCCATGAAGTGGCCGAGGTTCAGGGAGGTTAAATTGAGAAAGAAGTGAAACAATGCTGAAATGCTGACTTCTGTGGGGAAAGTGAAAATTGATGGTGAACATCAAATGCATCAGGGAAATTCTCAGGATGTTCATGTGCATGGTTGTTTTTTTTTTAAGATGTATGTATGTATGTATGTATGTATGTATGTATGTATGTATATAAGAGCTGGGGTACAGGCCAGAGGTGTGGGGGGTGAGAGGATTCACCAGAGTCAGAATGGGGACAGAACAGGCAAACTGAAGTGCACTGCTGAGGGGAGCAGTGGGCGAGCCAGGAGAGGTCTGCTGCTCCACGGGGATTGAACTCGTGCTGCAGTGGTTGTGGACAGTTTCATAGGTTGCATCCTAACCTCTTGTGCCACCAGGGAGGCCCTCACTTGCATGTTTTGGACCTGAATCTCCATCTTGGGAATAAAGAACCCACCAGAAGTACAGTAACTTTTAAGGTAGGTCTTCTGTGATGCATCTCATGGCAAAACATCATTCAGTCCTTGCAGTTAACCTGTTCCTAGGAGACAATTCTCATTTGTATTGGATGAAGTCGTTTCAAAGAGGTAGGGTAGGGATGAGAGGTTCACTCAAGGTCATTCACCCAACACAATATAAAGCCAAGATATAGCTTGCCCTGGAGTGGGTGGGTGGTTAGTCAGAGCTGCCATGGCCCACGGACTTGCTGAGGGTAAAATAAAAGTGGATAGTACAGTGTCTTCAACAGGACCACGTTGGTTCTCTCACTATAGCCAAGTTTCATAGTCTGTACTCAAAATTTATCTCTAAACATCTGTCAACCTTACTAAGCAGAAGTAGAGATTTGCATAATGTACTCTGCATAAAGTAGTTAGCATAGTTTTGTTTTACAGCTGAGGAAACTGAGGCTGAAATGGGTAATTACTATTGGCTCAGAGACAGAGTCTGGGTCAGATGTTGGCAGTCCTTTCTGTATCATCATTGTCCTGGGAATGGTGACAGTGGACAAGGGCAGACAAAATGGGCTATCCTGTTGGGTCTCCTGGTGTTTCAACATAACAGGGCACTGACCACTACCCCAAGCCCTTCCTTGCCATGGTGCCTGGCTTAGCTAGTCTTCTGTCTGAATTTGGTGTCTTTCTTTTTCATTGAGAGGTAGGTAGAACACAATGCAAGAGCTGAACCAGTCCTCTGTGACTGAATTCATCCTTCAGGGCTTCTCCTTCAACCCCAGGAAGACTCCTCTGCTCTTCTCAGCCTTTCTGATAATCTATGCATTGATTATTCTGGGCAACAGTTTGATCTCCACCCTCATCTGCCTGGACTCACGTCTTCACACACCCATGTATTTCTTTATTGGCATTCTTTCCATGTTAGATCTGGGCTACACCACGACAACTGTGCCCCAGATGTTGGCACATTTGGTTAGCCAGAAGAAGACCATTTCTTTTGCCAGCTGTGTAACTCAAATGTACATTTTCTTGGTGCTAGGCATCACTGAGTCCTGGCTCTTTGCCATCATGTCTATAGACAGGTATGTGGCCATCTGCCACCCACTGCGGTACAAGGTCATCATGAAACCATGGGTATGTGGGGCAATGGCCATTTTCTGTGGACTCTGGGGTGTCGTCTCTGCTATTGTCTACACTTATTTTGCCATGCGTCTGCCCTACTGTGGCCCCAACAAGATCAACCACTTCTTCTGTGAAATCCCTGCCGTCTTAAAGCTGGCTTGTGCAGACACCTCAATCAATGACCGGGTAGACTTCGTTCTCGGTTTTTGTGTCATCCTGGTCCCACTTTCCCTCATCTTTGTCATTTACATCAACATCTTCATTGCCATCTTGAGGATCCGTTCGACTCAAGGGCGACTCAAGGCCTTTTCCACGTGTGCTTCCCACATCACTGTGGTCACCATGTTCTGCGTGCCGGCCATGATCATGTATATGAAGCCTGGCTCTGAGTCTTCCCCAGAGGAGGACAAGAAGTTGGCGCTGTTCTATAACGTCATCTCTGCGTTCTTTAATCCCATCATCTACAGTCTCCGGAATAAGGATGTGAAGAAAGCTTTTGTCAAGGTGACAGGCTGGGGCAAGGCCCCAGAATAAGGCCCTGGAAGGATAGCTGGGGACACATAAAGTGGCCTAAACACTCATTCACATGACCCAGCAGGACCTGGACATGCTCCCGAGTCTCACCTATACACAGGCCAGTGGGGGACAGCACCGGATTGACTGACAGATCTGTTGCCTTGAAATGTCTCCAGGTACGACCTACATGGATTGGTGAGCAGTGAGCGCCCCAAGAAAGAGGACCTGCACTCCAGTCCACCAGGATGGATTCATTTGTATATATCCTGCTTACTTAAGGGTTCCCACATATGCTGTAACAAGAAGACCATCTGGAAGGGAGGCAAATTCCCATAAATAAGTCTGTTATGAAGTCTACAGCCACAGAGATTCAAGAGGTATGTTCAGCAGTTGGACTTCATGTATTTCTTTTTTTTTTTTTTTTTTTAAATATTAAATTTTATTTTTATATTCCCCCATACAATTGCAAACGCCCCATTCTGACCCCAATCCTTCCCCTCCCGCCCCCCCACCCCCCAAAAAGTGTCTCTGGTTCATAGTTTTTTTGTTGATTTTGATTTTCACTTTCTTATATTCATTTTCCTGGTCCCTTATTTAAGTTTTCTAGATTCCTGCTATGAGTGAGACCATCCGGTATTTTTCTTTTTCTTTTTGGCTTATTTCGCTGAGCATGATCCCTTCCAGTGCCATCCATGTTGCTGCAAATTGCATGTGTTTATCTTTTTTGAATGCTGAGTAATATTCCATGGTATATATGTACCACATCTTCTTGATCCAGTCATCTATTTTTGGGCATTTGGGTTGTTTCCAAAGCTTAGCTATTGTAAACAGTGCTGCTATAAACATAGGAGTGCAGGTGCTCTTTGGAATTGATGTTTCTGTGTCCTTTGGGTAAATACCTAGGAGTGGAATTGCTGGATCATATGGAAGCTCTATGTTTAGTAGGTCCAGAAATCTCCACACAGCTCTCCATAGTGGTTGGACCAGTTTGCACTCCCACCAACAGTGCACAAGAGTTCCTTTTTCTCCACATCCTCGCCAACATTTGTTGTTGCTAGTTTTTTTAATATGTGCCATTCTCACTGGTGTGAGATGGTATCTCATGGTAGTTTTGATTTGCATTTCCCTGATTACAAGTGATGTTGAACATTTTTTCATATGTCTGTTGGCCATTTGCATTTCCTCTTCAGAGAAGTTTCTTTTTAGCTCTTCTGCCCATTTTTTGACTGGATTATTTTCTTTGTTGTTGCTGAGTCTCATCAGCTCTTTGCAGATTTTTGTGATCAGTCCTTTATCATTAGTGTTGGGTGCAAAAATGTTCTCCCAGTTGGTGGGGTTTCTCTTTGTTTTTGTTATTGTGGACTTCATGTATTTCTTAAGAAAAATAAAATGTACTTTAGAGAACGCAATCATGATGTTCAGTACAGGGGCAGATTGTGGGTTCAGCTCAAGCAAGAAGGTTCAGCCTCCATCTTGTACAGTTCCCATCATTTAAGTCAGTAATGTATGCAACAGAAATGATACCTAAACTAAAAAAAAGGGGAAGTGCAGTATAAAAGAAAATGCTAATTGCATTCCAATACAGAGGTTTTTTTTGGTGGAAGAAAGAAGAATATTTTTAAATGAACATGGACTCTACCATAAGTTACTTAATTCCTGTATCTGTCCTCTATGTAAACATATTTCAAATCAATGAGTTTGATAAGATTTTAATTACAAGTTTTGTTCACCTTTTAAGTTATCAAAATAAAATTTGAAACTAAAAAAAGAAATGCCTCTGGACACATTTTTCTTTTATTAGCCTTTTGTTCTAGAGTCTCAGTGGTTAACAAAGAGATGTCTGAGCCATTAAAATCTTTGTAACACTGAGAATGGGCTAAGGCGCATTCCTTGTGGGTAAATCTTGAGAAAGGTCATTACCCTGGAAACCACACACCTGGTATTAGGTTAGCTGAAGAGAGGGTAAGAGAACTGACCTTGGAGAATCCTGGCTGGACAAGGGGGACTGAGCTTACAAGGCATTGTAAGCTTGAGTGCTTGTTTCAGAAAGCAGATCCAAGACAAGGTGGGATGGCTGGAGGACAGGTATGATCTGACCCCACTCACCTTCCCAGAGGCTCCAGTCACTCTGCTCTTCCTTCTCATGCTTTGCCTTCAATATGCCATAATCCCTCCTATTCAGGGTTCCCACATGTGTTATTCCTTCTGTCCTCGCTCTTATCCCTACAACACCTCCATCCTTCCTCATGTAGCTATTAACTCTTGTTCATCTGTGAGTTTTGCCTTATATTGCAACTTCTTAGCCTCCAACCACCTTATACTCCAGTCTTACAATGTCAAAGGTATGTGGCGAAACGTTTGAGATCACTGCTAGATAGCAAGTCCCAAAAGGCAAGGAACATAACTATGCAGTTGATAGCTGTGTCCTTAGGATATAGCCATGCTGCCTACATACTGGCCTGAAATACACACTCTGGTGAAGAAATACACATTCCGTGGGAAAAGTTAGAAAGGGACATGGGAGTGGGGAGTTAGTGAATTAGGATTAACAGGTATAAAAAGGAGGGGCCTCCCCGGTGGCACGGTGGTTGAGCGCTGGGTTGCGAAGCTGCCCGCAGCCTCTGCGGCACCGGTTCGATCCCCGGCTGCTCCCCGGCCACCAGAGGAGGGTCCCACATGGCACGCAGACCTCTCCTGCCGCCCGCTGCTCCCCTCAGCAGTGTACTTCGGTCCTTCTGCCTGTTCTGCTCCCCACTCTGGCTCTGGTGAATTCTCTCACCCTCCCGCGCTTCTGACTGTACCCAGTGCATGTATAAACAGACAAATAAACAAAAAAAAAAACCAAAACAAACAAATAAATAAATAAAAATACATGCCTCTTAAAAAAAAAACAGGTATAAAAAGGAGAGGGGATTAAAAAATTTAAATATTGTTCAGCAAACAGGACAGTTTCAGTGCTGGAAAAGAAAATGCAGACTTAAGGGGCCTCCCTGGTGGCGCAAGGTGTTAAGTGTCAGCACTATGAAGCTATCCACAGCTACTGCAACATGAGTTCAATCCCCGGCCAGGGAGGTGACCCACATGGTGCAGCAGACCTCTCCTGTCTCGCTAGCTGCTCCCCTTAGCAGTGGATTTCAGTAGATTTGCCTGTTCTGCTCCCCAGTCTGTCTCTGGTGAATCTTCTCACCCCCCACACCACCAGCCTATACCCCAATTCTTGTATGCATATTACATTAATAAATCTTAAAAAAAAAGAAAAAGAAAATCCAGACTTAAGAGATAAGCCAGGGGCAGGGCAGGCTAGAAATTATTTAGCTTAACTCAATGGAAGACTTGTTTTCTACTCAGACCTAGCAGAATTCTCACATCAGATTTCCTAGTTCGGCAGAGAAACTCTTAGAAAGGTTTCTCTAAGGCCACCCGAGAATGACCTGTGCTGTTCTGGTAGTTTCAGGTACAAATTTGGGTCCATTTTCAACACAACAAGTCACAGGCCCACAGGAACCCCAGCACAAAGCGCCCCTGCTGCAGCTGGCCCAGATCACCTAGGGCTCAGTACTCAGGGGTGTCGCTCCCGGTCACTTTCCAAATCTATTCAGCAATAACTGTGATGGATATTATAGTAATAACTAACATTTATGGAGTGCCTGTGCTCAGAGCTTTGTAGTAAATTAACTCATAACTCACTTAATTCTCACAATCATGAAGGAGATTCTCTTAGGCAGTTAGGGCAGAGAGAGCAATACCTAAAGAAAATTAATGGCCAATATATCCAGGGCTCCTGGAAACACTTGTCAGAGCTGATTAAGTTAGGGGAGAGGCAAGAAATGCCCAGAGCGGGGAAGGCAGTCCCACACCCCTACCTGCTGCAGAGGCTGATAAAAGCACACCACGGGAGTGCAGTAGAAGGGGGAATGATTTAGAAACTCCTGCCAAGACCAAGAAACCAGTAAACCTAGGAATACCTTCACAGTAAACTCCAGATAAGGAGTAGATGGGCAGCCCCCTGCACCCCATTTAAGCCAGAACACTGCCACCATTCTGTGCAGTTGTTTTTCCATGGACTCTGCCAGTAGAATCACTTGAAAAGTGTACTTTCCTGGCCACAGTCAAGAATCAAGGTATGGGCCTCCCCAGTGGCACAGCGGTTGAGCGCTGGGTTGCAAAGCGGCCCGCAGCCTCTGCAGCGCCAGTTCGATCCTGCCGCCCTCTGCTCCCCTCAGCAGTGTACTTCTTCAGTCTGCCTGTTCTGCTCTCCACTCTGGCTCTGGTGAACTCTGTCACCCCCCCCCCCCGCTTCTGACTGTACCCCAGTGCTTGTATAAATAAATACATAAATCTTAAAAAAAAAGAAGGTACCCCCCCAAATCCAGTTACAATCCTGTTATTAGTTTTATGAGTAAGAGGAGGTTCTGAGCAATGAAGGAGTTATTTAAGAGCACATGTGAAGAACATGAAAATTGTTTGTGGGAATTCTTTATTAATCTGCCCATAAACCTTATGTTATATTTTTTAACTTCTATCCCATTTTCATTTTTGTTTTAATAAAGCCTAGTTGTGTTGAATGACTTAATATTTTAAGAATCTATATTGTATTTTATATCCCCCCTCCCTCCATCTATCTTTTTGGCCCTTTCTCCTGCACCCTCCCTCTCAGCCTCAGAAACTTTACTTTGGTTATCAACGTCTGCTAGTTTATAATTATTTTTCATTTCATCTGCTTTGAGTCCTTACTTTACTCTTGTATGTGAAATCATCCAATATTTATCTTTATGACTTTAGCTTCTGACTTACTTTTCTACACATAGTTTCCTTGAATTCCTTCCATTTTTGCTGTAAATAGTAACTTTTCATCTTTCCTTATACCTGCGCAGTATTTCATTGTATATACGTACCACATTGTTATCCAATACTCTGTCCTTGGGCACTTAGGTTGTTTCCAAATTCTAGCTATGTAAATAACGCTGTAGTAAACATTATTTTTTTTAGTTGATGAGTTCATATTCTTCATATAGATA